CAACAAAGAAAGATATCAAAAACTAATTTCTTCTAACAATATCAATAAACTAGTGAGCAGACAAGTGATGGGAATATAGAAAATCATCAACTAGGTGTATCTTTAGTATGAAGAAAGGCTAACCTGAGCACTTGGTGTCATAGAATCTGCTTCATCTAAAATAACCAGCTTAAAAGCTGGACATGGTTTACCGCTGAAACAAAAACAAAATGAATGTCAAGTGTGTTGCATTAACCTGCCAACTTTTTCTGAGCCACAGGCATGATAATAATTTTATCCTAGGAGTCTCAGGATTTTCAGGGACAACCCAAATGTACATGTATCTGAACATCCAAAGATTTACAAGAACTTTTTGACGATTACTGAAGACATTTCAAATATTTACCGGCCTCAGTCCAGAGCTGCGTCTTGCCATAACAGAGGCTACTACTTTTCCCTTGAAAACCAGAGCATTTGAGGGATGCATATCATCATTTACATGAAGATTTTGTTTAATGGTCCACATTTGAATATTCTTCAAAACTGTCAGTTAAGGCTGTAATAGCTCACGTTTTTTAGGTAGGCATGAGAAATTGGACTGTAGAGGTATTCTCAGAAATTGGTCTAAGGGTGTAAGTTAATCAATGCGAGATCGAAGTTTTCGACCTCCAGCCATGAGACCTACATCTAAGGCAAGAGAATTGGCAGGTTTAGTAGCAAGCTAACAAATGAAGGGGTGCCTGGGATAAAGTCCTAAGTGACTTTTGGAAAATTTTGAGGTAGCTATGATTGAAATACTCCCAGCAGTTTTCACAGTTTACTCTGGTATTGATTATTGTCTTAATTGTAGTAAAAAGAACTAGTTACTTTAAGGCATAATGACACCAAAGTAAAATGTGAACATTGCTGGGAGGTACACTGTATTTCAATCCTAGCTAACTCAAAATTTCCCAAAAGTCACTTAGGGCTTTATTCCAGGCACCCCTTTAAATGGTACTTTCTTTTGCTTTTCTTGAAGAAAGACCCTTTCAAAGGGGTATAAAACAACAGTCTGAAGTACAGTTTTCCTCAATATTTATTTCCTTGTATATTTGGATCAGCCACTGATGAATGCTGGGCATCAAATGTAGCCACACAGATCTGAGGTAACTTAGTCTACTCTCCGCTCTTGTTATCATTCTTTTTTACAATGAAATGATCCAAATGTGAGCAAATTAAGCAAGAAGCCAGGAAATGCCTGCTCTACCACCTGGTTTAACATCACTTACTCAGGCCGAACACCAGATGCTGCTAGCTGTGCAAACTTCTTCACCTTGTCTCTCACCACCTGTAAAAAGCAATTTATAAATAATTTATAAATAAATACTAATTTACAAATAATTTTGACAATAAACATTTCCCATGTCAGCTTAATATTCTGTTACATACAGAATTCAACTACATTGACAAACTACTTAAATTATAAAATGAAGCATTCAATTACACTAGTTTAATTGATTAAAATGTGACTATTCACCATTCTCTTTCAAGTCTCAAAGACCAGCTCAAGTGATAACAACATAAATGAAGGGTAAGT